CCAAAAGCTCGAAAAACTTCAAAGATCTGCGCAGCCGCCGTGACACGGTTGAGCTTGGTTGCGGCTCGGTGGAAGATCGACGTGTCACGGGGACCAAATCCCGTGTCACGGGAAGAACAGAGGTCGCTGGAGCCCTGTCGTGCAGCAGTAGCACCGACGAACAACAGCAACAACAACAGTAGTAAGCAGCAGCGACTAACAGTAGCAGCAACTCGCAGCAGAAGCAAAAATAAAAAAAAAAGAAAGAAAAAAAAAAACAGAACCGTCGTGTCACGGTTGTCGTTACCGTGTCACGGTGAGGCCGGACGACCGTCGGTTTTCTTAACCGTGGCGCGGCAATTTGTGTGAGCAAGAAGATGAAAATGGAGAAGATAGAGGGAGGAGATGAATAAGGAAATGGCTAAATGGTGAAAGAAATGAAGCAGAAGTGTGAATTTAAAGCCAAAAAAGTAACCGTTACGAACCCCGTTCACCGTGCCACGGTTACCATTATCGTGTAACGGTACACTGATGACGTGGCGCGCTGGGATTAGTCGATAAAAAGGATAATGATTCACGCGTTGACCAATTCAAACAACAAAAAAAAATTATATGCAAAATATTCCCGTGACACGGGATTTCATCCTGTTTGACGGAGAGTTTACCGTGTCACGGCAAAAAGGTGACGTGACACGACAGCTCTGCACATTGTCAGCGAATATTCCTAGCATTTTTGACCAGTTTGAATGATTTTTTGAGAATATTGGGCGGTTCTTTTTCACTGGAATTATGCGGAAAATTCTAACTGATAAAGGGGACTAAAATTACCATTTTACCCCTAGCAAGCATCAAAGCCTATTTTTCGGCATTTAAAGCACCTAATATGCTCGGATAATCAACTTAAAATTGTGAATCATCTGCGGCCCACGTTCGGGGATAATCGAACCATCATACACTTACAAATTTCAGCAATCGTCGGCTTTCCTCGGGCTTGGAAAGCGTTATCGCTGGATTTTTCTTCAAGTATAGAAAACCGCCAAGTCGGCTTTCATCAGGCTTGGAAAGCGTTATCGCTGGATTTTTCTTCAAGTATAGAGAACCGCCAAGTCGGCTTTCATCAGGCTTGGAAAGCGTTATCGATGGATTTTTCTTCAAGTATAGAAAATCGCCAAATCGACTTTCCTCAGGCATGGAAAAAGTTATCGGTGGATTTTTTTTTCAAGTATAGAAAAACCGCCAAGTCGTCTTTCCTCAGGCTTGGAAAGCGTTATCGGTGGATTTTCCTTCAAGTATAGAAAACGACCAAATTCCTTTGTCGGCTTTCCTCAAGCATGGAAGGCATTATCGGTGAAATTCTTCAAGCATAGAATGACACCAAATTCATACGTCGGCTTTCCTCAAGCATGGAAAGTGTCATCTGGTAGGTTTCTTCAGGCTTAGAAAACTACCAAATTCTTCAGTCGGCTTTCCTAAAGCATGGAAAGCGTTTCAACAAATGCCACTCGGTAGATTCCTTCAAGCTTAGGAAGCTGCCAAATTCGTTTGTCACCAATACACTGGTGTCAGATACGTATTATATCCCTTTACTCTTTTATATGTGGAATTAACATTTTTCTGCAGGTATCGGCGTATACAGAATGATTTAGGATCGCAGAACGTCTTAAATCATTCTCCGTCCCTATCGATTACTTTGACTATCGTTTTTGAAACTGACGTTTCTACAAACTCAGTCAAAGTGGGGGCTTCTGTAGACACCTAAAAATGTTTCCCCAAAACAAAACCCGATGATGAACAACCTTTCACCGCCACTATTGGTCGGGTTTAGTATTTAATCCCCAGAGTGCTTAAAAAATCGTATTTTATTAAATTCATATTTTTGAACAGTCCATGGATTAGTCTTGATGTTTGGTAAAGGCATAGTTTTAATTTCAGCTTAAACTTATTAATTAATTTTTAGCCCAAACCTCTTTTATTTTATTGTTTTATTATTTTTTTTTTGGCCCAAACCCTTTATTTATTTTTATTTAATTATTTTTTTATTTTAGCCCGAATAATAAAAAGTAAGAAAAAGCCTGAAATAATCAATCGACACTTAAAATGCAGAAGGAAATTAGGGTTAAAAATATATTTAGACGGAATAACAGGTTGGAATTTCCCGCGCCACGGCAGGTACCTACCGTGTCACGTCTGACGGTGGGATTTCCCTTGACACGATAGGTCTGCCGTGACACGGGACATTCCGTGTCTTTTCCGCGTAAACCCTTATTTTTTATCCCATTTTCTGAAAATTTTCCGAGTCACACCAAAAATGTATCGTGTCACGGGAAAGTGTACCATCTGACGGTGGAGCTTCCCGTGTCACGGTACAGTTTGACCATGTCACGGGATACTTTTTTAGGGTTTTTATCATTTTAAGGTTTTGTGTGCTCCCTCATCAAATTTTCCCTATAAATACCCCCTCATTTCTGATGAACGGGGCACATTTTTCTCTCTTCTATGTTTTAGCCTAAACACTAGCCTACCCTTTTCACTTCAAAATTCCTTCTTCAAGCACTCAAAGGAGTCCATATTTTACTCGTGGTTTTGTCCTTAAGCCAAGGCGTGAAAGGTAGAATTGTTTGAGGGTTTAGCCCCAAAATCAACTTTATTTAATTTAATTTAATTATTGTTTTATTATTTCCTTGAAGTTACTAACTCGTTTATTATTTTGTAGTTGCAAACAAGCAGAATCAAAGTAAGGATCATGCTCCTTTTGTTTTTATTATTTTTCTAACAATTTTATGTTGTTGGAATTGTGATTAAATTGGTTTTAATATTAATGTTGTTCTATTATATTTATGATCACTATATTGCATGTTAAAGGGAATATGTAATTGAAAATCACGCCTAATGAGATAACTTGGACAACCGGTTTAGGATCCTTTTAATCTTATTATTAATTGAAGTGATCACCAATATTTTAGAATTATGTGTGCATTAATATTTAACCAATTTAGTTAAATAATAGTTTGGAGCGAAATGAATTATTGTTTGTATATATTCCATTGAGATCGCAGGAATCACTTTTCAATATAAGAATTGAGTAGAGGCCAATACGGGCGAATGTGACTCCATGACTCACTTCGTACCATCATCCCCGATCCTCCTTTCGTGGTTCCGAACCATATGGAGTTAATAATCTCATGGATTATGAATGGGGTGTAACCTTCACGGGTCAATCGTTGTTGCCTTCGTTGTCCCTTTATCGTGGTTGCCTTTTATGATCCGTGAACGTTTTACAAGTTCCTTAAAAACTTGTTGGCGGCTCCCTACTTTATTTGTCCCTAATCGTTGTCCCTAATCGTAATGTTAATTCCCACTTCCTATGAGTGCCAAGCATGTTCACAACATGCTTTTATGTAGGCGCACTTCGAGCGACGCTAACAGTGTCCTTTGAACAAGTGAACTATTCCATTAGTGGTTCAGAATTATTAGAAAGCTAATATATTAAGTAAAGTAAAGTGATCGGAATGCCTGGGTGGAGGCCGCTTCCGATCAGTTATATTAATGTATAATTAATTTACAACTTAATCTTGACTGAACCCTTCGGGTCACACCCAAGCAACTAACGAACCAAAGCGACGAATTAATTAGGAATTAATTAATAAGTCCACCGAGTAATTAATATTTAGACGTCGGAAATTCGAGTTTGGAGCGTCGAAACCCAGCGTCGGAAGTCGAGTCAAAAATAGTAAAAGACGAGACATGAATAATAATAATAAATCAACAATGACAAAAATACCCCTAGCATCGGTAAAACCGAGTACTAGGGGCGCGGGAAAAAGCTAGCAACCCGCACCAAGTGTGCGTGGAAATGCTAATAGTAGGGAATATTTCAAGTATTACCCCAAACTTGAACCCCACTATGATTATTTTGGGAACTTGTAAACCGTTCACAAGGTGAAGGTTACACCCCTTAATGATCTAGGAGATCGTCAACTCCAATAGGTCTTGAACCATGACTGGTAGTTCGGGGATGAAGGTACAAATCCAACTTAAAAGAGATTGAACCTGCCCTAATAATAGGCCTCTACTTTATTCTGATCGTATTCATGTGCGCGTTCTGACTAACATACAATCAATAAGATTACCCTAAACCTGTTTAATCTATGTTGGTTAAATTTAATGCACAGATAAAACTACTATTGGCGATCACTTGAATTATAATTATATTAACCCTAAATAAGATTATTAATTACTTTATTAAGCGTGATTACAAATACCAATTCCCTTTAAACATGCATAAAAGGTGTGATCAAGCAATAACAATAAATATATATCAAGCAACAATAATCATCAAAAATAATAATCATAATAATAATCATCAAAATAATCAAGATCACAATTAAAATCATAACAATTATAATCATGTTAATGCATAATATTATTAGCAAGATCCTAGGCATGATACTAACAAGATTAATAAAAAAAACCTAACATGTCACTAAACAATAAAGATCAAATATTTAACCCTAACATGATACTAACATGAATATTAGAAAAAGAATAGGAAGCATCGCGGGAATCACAATTGCCATATTTGATATTAGAAAATTATAGTTGTTACCCTAAACATGATAGTAGGAAGATCAAAACACCCTAACATGATACTAGGAATCATAATAACAACCTAGACATGATTTCTATGTCATAATATCAATAAATCAATTAAAGCACTTACTTGGATGCCTCGTACCTCTTTCTAATAACAAAATACACGCGTTAGTAACTTCAAGGAAAATAATAAACAAAACAATTAAATTAAATTAAATAATTGAAAGGGAGAATTGGGACCAAACCCTCAGAAATTAAAACCTTTCACGTCTAGGGCGAAGGAAACTTCAAACTTGTCTAGGTTTTTCTAGATCTTGTGAATACAGAATTTTGTATGCAAAAGCTAGTTTAGAAAAAAGAGAGAGAGTAGATTTCACCAAAGATGCAAATCATTAAGATTAAATCGCCTAATTGTTGCTAATGATTTGATGTTATTCTTCTATGCTGATAAGAAGTTTGTCTCCCTTCTTGTAAGGGCTTTGAAAGCTTTTGAGGGTTGTTCTGGTTTACAGACTAATGTTGATAAATCCGTTATCTACTTTGGGAGTGTGCAGTCTGAAATGCAGCGGGAAATTTTGTCTGAGTCTGGTTTTGTTATAGGAGAAACTCCTTTCAGATATCTTGGCATTCCTTTGAATGCTAAATACTTGAGAGTCTCTGACTTTGATGCTATAGTTGATAAGATGCTGACTAGAATAACTTGCTGGTCTAGCAGAAATCTGTCTTATATTGCAAGAGTTGTGCCGGTGAACTCTGTTCTGATTATTTTGCATACCTATTGGGCTCAGTGTGTGATGTTACCTAAGTCAGTTATCTTGAGGATTACTCACTTGTGCAGAGCTTTTCGTTGGTGTGGAGATGTTGTTTTGTCTAAGGCTCCCCTAATTGCTTGGGATTGGGTCGGCAAAAGCAAAGCTGAAGGGGGCCTAGGTATTAGAGATTGTAGGACGTGGAACAGGGCAACTTTGGGGAAAATAGCTAAAAAAGAGGATTCTCTTTGGGTGAAATGGGTTCATGATGTGTACATTAAAGACCAAGAATGGTGGAATTATAGTCCTAAAAGATATGCAGGATGGGCTTGGAGGAGGTTATGTGAAGTTAAGGACCAGCTAAAAGAAGGGTTTGAGCAAAATAACTGGATGAATGGCACTTATAGAATTTTCGAGTGCTACAAATGGCTGCAGGGAGATGGAACAAAGGTGGATTGGTGTAAATGGGTTTGGAATAATTTCAATATCCCCAAGCATTCTTTCATATTATGGCTTGCTATGCATGATAGACTCAGACCAAGAGAGAAACTCTTGAAATATGATGTCTGTGCTGAGGATAGTCTTCTGCTGTGTGGTGCTAATATTGAGGATAGACAGCATCTGTTCTTTAATTGTACATATAGTCAAGAGTGCTTAATGAGAATTGCCCATTGGCTCCATATTCCAAATCAGAATGTCTGCATTGATGAGGTTTGGAAGGATTGGCTTAGAGCAGTGAAAGATAAGGTGCAGCAGAAGGTGGTTCTGGCAGTTCTGGCTTGTGTTGTTTATCACATCTGGTTTGCCAGGAACACTGCTTTCTGGCAGAAAGCTGTTATCCACCCTTCAAACCTGTGTAAGGGTATTGGTAGGGTGAGCATGGATAGAGTCAAACAGCTTATAAACAAGAAATGGAACATATTGCAGTTCAAGTGGATTCACGAGCTATGTAGTAGCATCCCAAACTAGTGTTGCTGTATTTTTTTTAGTTGGTTTTCTTTTGTATGCTCTAGTCCTTTTTCAGTTGTTTTCAGGTTTTGCTTTACTCTCTCTTAGTTGAACCCTTCCTAGAAGGTGGCAACTAAGGAGTTTAAAGCTTGGGGGTGGCCTTTGTGTTAGGCCTTGTATTGTGTTGTTGGTGCCTTGTTTAGGCTTGTAATTGTTGTACATTTTAAATATACTTGCTTACTTACCAAAAAAAAAAAGAGAGAGAGAGAGAGTAATCAAGTGATTCCTGATGAGAGTTGTTGATGGAGAGAATTAGAAAACTAGAGAGTTGATGATTGAAAACGGGGGTTTTAGGAGGCTATTTATAGAGAAAATCAGCCGGATGGATATAAAAACAAATAAGAGTTTCGCCGAGAATAAAACAGCTTAGCGCTAGATGCCAAAGATTAGCGCTAGGAAATAATGCTAGCGCCAGACGCCAAGCCTTAGCGCCAGGCGCTAATCCTTTCGTCAGGTGCTAGAAATAGTTTTCACGTGTTTTCTGAACTTTTATAAAATTTAGCTGTACAAAAGGGAAAAATCGCATTTTCCTTAAAAACACTTCTTTTAAACTCATTAAAACTCTAAAAAGTCAACTAAAGTCAGTTTATCAATGCTAGTTAAAATAGGAATTAAAAGAACCTTCTAGAAGAATCTAGAAAACAATAATAAATTCCAATTGCATTAGGAATAATAAACCAATATTAGACCCTCCTCTAGATCATTGGGTCGTATATAAATATCAAACCGGGCTAAGTTTAGTAATTTGGCCATAACTTCCTTATTATTCATCGGAATCGGGCTTATAATATATCGTTGGAAAGCACTTTTTGAACCCGACCCTACTACACTATTATTGGACCCTTGCCATGGACCAAACCTAACTGGATTGACAGTTTTCTTAAAAAGTTTTTCAAAAACAGCGAGAAAAAACGAAATAAAAACTATCCGCAACACTAGACTTTCCACACTTTCACTTCATTCGATTATGATTCGACGTGAAAGGTACTCATCACTAGGTTAGGTTTTGAGAGACAAAAATGGGTGACTACAGAAGCCCCCACTTTGACTGAGTTTGGAGAAACGCAAGTTTCGAAAACTAAAGTCAAAGTATCGATAGGGACGAAGAATGATTTAGAACGTTCTGCGATCCTAAATCATTCTTGAAACGCCGATACCTGCAAACTAGCGTTAGCTAAATAGATAAAAGAGTTTAAGAAACGTGTATCTTGCACCGTCGAGCACACGTCTCTTAAGGTAACCGATTTGTTGTTGTTGTTGTGACAACCTTCCACAAGCTAGGGAATGCCATCCTGCAGTTTGATGTTCACTCGTCTCTGAACAATAGACCTTTTTTGGATATGTTCACACGTCTCTGAAAAAAGAGCTTTTAAATGATATGCCCACGCGTCTCTGAGCAATAGAGGTTCTTTTTTAGGATTATCCACTCGTCTCTGAACAAAAAGCTTCTTTTTTGTTTGACGATCTTCCTCAAGCTAGGGGATACCACCTGAAGACTGCTACGCCTGTAACTGCCTCCAATTTTAGCTGTGATAGTCTTCGAAAAGACCACTACTTGTTTATCCTTAATGTTGTTATGCCAGTGCGTCGACCCTTTGCTGCTTGTGAACTAGTAAGTCAGTGCTTTTGCTGCGATGACAATCCTCTTTTCGTTGGGAATAGTTGCCAATATAACTCTTGGATGATGTATGACAATCTAATTTAGGGTAAGTTGTCAATGCTTTGTAACAATCCATCCGGAAATGTTGCCACGATGAAGCGACAATCCGTATCTCGGAAAATTTGCCAAAATCCATTTTTGGGAAAAGTTGCCAATGGTTTGTAACAATCTGTTATAAGAATCTTGCCACGATCGACAATCCACATCTTGGAATATAACTCTTGAAAGCAATCCACCTTGGAAATTTGTCAATGCTATGCGACAATCCATTTAGGAAAATATTGCCACAATTGACAATCCGTGTGTTGGAACATTTGTCAAAAAAGAGTCGATCGACAATCCACTTCGGGAAAATTTGCCACTTGCTGAAACAAATGACAATCCACGTTTAGGAATCTTTGCCGAAATTTATGATGAGTAGAGACCTATGACAATCCTTTTGGAAATTTTTCCATAGGGAACTGGTGTATGGCAATCCAATCTCGGAAAACTTGCCAAATATTTATGAATGTATGACAATCCGAACTTGGAAAAACTTGCCAAACAAAGAAGGAGCACGACAATCCACGCTTAGAAACTTTGCCAGGGATGACAATCCAATTTTGGTAAAATTGTTGTTTGAAGAAGATGCGCGACAATCCATATTTTGGAAATATTGTCAGTTGGAGATGACAATCCAATCTTGGAAAAATTGTCGTATAAGTGATGCACTTGCTTTTGAACCGATGCCTTGGTGTTTTTAATGAGCCAATGCTTAGGCGCTTAAGCTAAGTGGGACGCTTTTTTGTCAGGTCAATCTCTTACTACGATTGTAATTGAGCCGAATACTAACCATGTCAATTTTCTTATAAGGGCTAACTGGCGTACCAAGGAACCCGAAATTGCTTTATGAGGTCAAAATAACCATTCTGAGAAGCTTCGAGCTCTATCGTTGCTGAAATATCGCTGGCGCCAAGAATTGGCTTTGTCGCTAGACGCTGGGATCTAGCGCCAGTCACTGAACTCTGTCGTCAGACGACAGATGTTATTGCCAGGCGACAACCTTGTCGTCTGGCGCTGGAGTCGAGTCTTCCCTATTCTGCTCTTGTTGCCGCTGTTGCTTGGTTTTGCTCTAAACGTTGAACTTGGTCGTTTCCTTTCAACCAAATTCGCTTTAATATTTTGTAAATTAAAGATCTTCATCTCTAATTTTCTAATCTATGTAACTCCTGTTATCTTGGAGGAATCTCCTATGTCATATTTGCCTGTTTTTCGAAAAAAAATTTGGGAATGTCCTCGCTTGCTGGGGTGCACCTGCATTTATATCTTTGACTATAAGACTTTTCTTATCTTTCTTTAGGGTTGACCTAAGACTTAGTGTTGCTTGACTCATTGACTTGACATGACTCAAGGTATAAACTTGACTCACTATGATTGACAGACTCGAGGTTGACTCGACTCGATGTGACTCGGGTGTACGTAGTATTGAATCATGAAACTCGATATGTACATGACTCGAAATGCAGAAAAATAAAAATTTCCGTCATTTCAAAAAAAAAAAAAAAAAAAAAAAAAAGAACCGAAGTTTTTGAAGGTGCATGTTGAATGAGCTTAGTCAAATGTTGTTTGATACTATTTCTCAAGGTGCGAGGATTTATCCATCCTAGGCGATCTCAATTGTTGACTCCATGAAAGTATTTAGGTAACTTAGGCACAGAGGCTAAGCACTTCATACTTTGTTATGCAATGATGATAATGATTCACTACAAGAAAAAGGTGAATTAGCAACTGATTTGTGCGACTACCATAATAATTAGCTGGAAAAATAATTTTCGCAACTGAATAAGGCGAGTAGTCGCAAATTTTGCAACCGAATTTGCAGTAGTTGCTATGCGGTCGTTAATTAGCAACTAGTTTTTGAAACTACGATAATAATCAGTTGCAAAAAATATTTTGCGACAGAAAAAAACGAGTAGTCGCAAAATTTGCAACCGAATTTATAATAGTTGCTATGTGGTTGCTAATCTGCGACGCTCTTATAATAATTTGCAACTAACACGGTAGGCGCTACTATTATTTTTAATATTTATTAAAAACAAATAATAAAAAAAAACCCTTAGTATAATAAAAAAAAACCCTTAGTATAATAAAAAAAAAACCCCTTATTCCTCCAAAATAAAAAAAAATAAAAAAATATTGCCGCCAAAAAAACAAGAATTATCATCAGTATTCACCGTTAAAAACAAGAGTATCATACTCTTCCTCAAAAAAAAAAAAAGTTTAGAACCTCAAAGCAAGTCAGCCATCACCGTCGTCTTCCTCTGCTGCTGTTGCGCCATGACCACTTCACCCAGGTTAGTACGCGTTCTTCTTCTTCCTACCTTCCATTCAATCTTTCTCTTACTGCATTATGTCGATTGCGAATTTTAGGTTTATCTTTGATTTTTTTGTCCAACTTTTTATTTTAATTTTTTTCAATTGCGAATTGATATTAATCTGATTATAGATTGAATTGCAAATTGGTTTTAATCTGATAATTTCACAGATTCGAGAATTATTCTTGAAAGTTTGGTCAAATTAAGTAATTAGAATTAGGAATAGTATTTCTCAATTATGTTTATGGGTTATTAGGGGCTATTCTTGAAAATAAGTTTGTAGAATTAGGAATTGCGAATTTTAGGGTTTATTGAGTTTTTTTTATTCAATTGTGTTTATTTTAATTTGGTTTCTATTTCAAATTGCGAATCCAGAAATATAATAAACTACTGGAAAGTCCATACTTTTCACCAAGCAAAACCCCCAAATGTCTATTGTTCACCTGCAGTTTGATTTTAGTGTTAAAGTGATCTAGGCCTTTGAATCCTCCCAACACCATAGCAAAAAATATTTGATCCAAAACATGGTAATGCAGACTAGACTTTATAGTGGAGCCATGGAGGGCTGGAATTCTTCGATTATTGTTGTCAAAATTTGACTTAGTAAACAGACGAACAATTTCTTTAAGAATATATAACCTGCATAATTCTTTTTATTACTATTATTATATACACATGCATAAATCATTTGCATACTGAGGAACCTAGTTCTATCGAATACATAAGTTCTTGCTTGAAAGGAGGAGAATCATATGCAGATCTCTAATTTTCCAGAGAAGTTCCAGTCTTGTATGTATAAGGGCTTTGTAGTTTTTGTCATTTCAGACTCTTGCCTTAACAAGTTAGTAAGGAAGGAACAGTGAAACTTGTGGAGAGTGACAATAACATTGGGCTAGCTTCATGTCTTTTTATGTGTTATTTAACCATGAATTATCTTGTTTAGTTTA